AACCTAACTTAATCTGACATTAACATAACAAAATCCTCCCAAAAAGTAGTTGATCTTTAGGTGAAATTAGCCGGGGTGCAAATTCTTCAGGTGATCTAATTTGTATTATTAAACCGAATAAAGATTTAATTTCTGTTATAAAACCCAACAAATAGATATATTATTATTTTATTTTATTATTATTATTATTATTATTATTAGATAACGAAATCCCAACACGGTGTTCCAATTTGTTTTGATTTTGTGTTTTAAGTATAAAAGTTTGAGATGCTTTTATGTTTTCGGGACGTCTCCGATACACCGTCCTAACAATAGATGGTGTCCCAATAAGCTGCTGTAGTGAATGGATATTGTATCGGTCCCATTATAGCTTTCCAAATAAGTGCGTCCCGGTAATTTTAGTAGCAGTATAAGGCCCAGTACAGCATAGAAACATTATGGGGCCAATATAGCTTTGTGGCATTATGGGGCCCAGTACAGCATATTAGCATTATGGGACCCAGTACAGCATAGTATAGGACCATCATAGGGCCCAGTACAGCATGGTATAGGACCATCATAGGGCCCAGTACAGCATAGGATAGGAGCATTGTGGGGCCCAGTACAGCCTAGCATAATTATGGGGCCAGTACTACATAGCATCATCATGGGATTCAGTACAGCATAACAGCATCATGGAGCCCAACGCAACATAGCATCATGGGGCCCAATAGAACATAGAAGAATCATGGGGCCCGGTAGAGAGTGGTCAGGGGAGAGGGTGTGTTGGGGTGCGGCGACCGCTTGGAATGTCTGTCAGGGCTTGAGCCTTGACCCCGTCTAAACACGTGGTGCCTCTCTCTTGCCTCTACTTGTTTACAACTCAATTTTTTCTACAAAGCCACATGTTTTCAACCACTTTTTACGACACCACCTGTTTACAACTTCACTTTTTTACGCCATATGTTTACAACTTACTTTTTTTACAGCTCCACGTCTCAATAACTGCAGTTTTTAGAATACCACAAAACAACGTTACATCTCCATAGCTTATTTATTGAAGCTTGCCTTGTTTACAACTCCATCTGGTGCAACTCTAAATTGCTTACAACTCCTCTTGTTGCAACTTAATTATTTACATCACATGCTGTAACTTTTTTACGTCACGTGTTTTAACTTATTTTTTTAACTAATCCATTTGTGTACAACTCAACGTGATGGCAGCACCACTTATTTACACTTCCACTTGTGTTTAAATATTTGTTTATATCTCTGATTGTTTTCATCTCTCTCTCTCTCTCTCTCTCTCTGTGTGTGTGTGTTAAGTGTTGCCGCTGGGGTCCTCAGCTGCTGGTAATAAGCCAACGTGACCACCAGCTTCAACCATACCTAATTTACTTCCCAGGTCTGTAGTCCCGCACTACGACTCGTGACTGGTTATATGGGCCCCATTCTTAATAGGCCCCAATCCTAGGAGGTCTTAATCCTAATAGGCCCCCAATTTTAACAGGTCCTATTACTATAATAGGCACCAGTAATTCTAATCGTAAGGATTTGGGTCAGATTTAATGGATTTAAATCCTTGTGGGTCCCAATCCTAATAGTCCCCTTCCCCCAGTCTTAATAGAACATAAGAACATAAGATTATGTTGGTGGTGGTGGCGCCGGGGGGGGTGGGGGGGGGCAGTGGTTTGCGGTGGCGGGGAAGGAAATCTCTGGCAGCAGCCGAGCATCAACCCACTCAAAACAAGTGTATATTTTTGTAATTTTTTTTCTTATATATAAAATTATAAATAGTGATAATGAGCCTAGATAGTCACCATCAATGAGTATTATGTAATTGGTGTTTGAAACTGGTGAATGATGACAATAACGTTTAGGTAAGTTTGAGAATATTATGACTTAGAATTTTACCTGTAGAGAAATTGTGGTTAGGTGACTCAGGTGACTTGTCTGTGGTCCTTCATTAACCTTCCTAGCTCACAAGGATATGATTACCAGGCACAGTTAACACATGCTGATAGGGACCATCAATAGCCACATAGTATAAAACTCTAAGCATACAGCGACACCCCTGTTTAACGGACTATATGGAGAGGATAGTTCGGTATATTGAGAGTCCGTTATATGTGGAAACCCTCATATAACGAACTATATAGGGATGAAAGTCCGTAATATCGAGGGTCCATTAAATGTGGAAACCCCATCTAACGGATTATATTGAGTCCGTTATATGGAGGTTTCACTGTTTACACTCAAAATCCGTAGTTTAAACGCTGGGCAAAATACCTAACATCTCACTAGACGACAGAAGACAAATATAACTGTTTCTAATCACTTCATCACAAATTTGCTCTTCAGTATTTTTCAAGTTTATTCTTTTGACGTTATCAGAGGCGGAAGCGATCACAGGCAAACTTTGGTAATGAATTTCCTTAAGGTGATCACGTTGACTTTGAACTCCTCTGTACACCCTATCGATATTACCATGCCAAGTTCATTATGTATGCAAATTACATGTGCTCCTGAGTTGACGTCAAGTGGATAGTGATTAGAGTAAGGTGTTATTAGTGTGTGTAAACGGGAGAGTGATTATACTGTGTTCTGAGTCTCTGGTATTGTTGTCCGGTATTGATGATTTGGTACTGTTTTGGTATCATGGTTGGTTTATCAGTACCACAGACCTAAGACTACTCAAGGGTTGGTACCACTACGAACAAAATTATTTAGTATGTGGTATCGTCGAGTACCACATCCTCTATCGCTTTCTCTCGGTACCACATACCAACCAAGGCTTAAAGTGGTCAGAAGTACTTTACACCCTGGCAGTACCATACACAAACTAGACATACCTGGTAGCTACGTGGCTCAAACCCTCAGTAAACACCATTACCTACATGCTGGTGTAGTATTGAGTAGTAGTTTTTCATTCAAGGTTTAGTGTACAGTTTTATAAGTCAGAGCAAAACGTAAATATAAATTCTAGACCTTTAGTAAAAGTAATATGTAATAGAGTAAATATTTATACTACTCGTTAATAGTCGAGTTTTAACTAAATAGTCTTGGTGTTTCTTGTTGTAGTAGTTTGAAAAATAAATACGTTTTTTGTCTTATTAATTTGAAATGTTTGGGGAATTTGAAAAGTTAAGGCGATTAGGAAAATAAACGAATAAATGTTTGTTTTAAGTATATTTGGGTCAGGTGAAGATTAGTCTTTTATTTCACCTTAAGATTGACCAACCTAACCTAACTCCCCTGGTAGCATTAGGGTCTTTAATCGTCAGGTGAAATAAGCTGGGCGGGGCTTGGCTTCAGGTGATGTATGTATTTAATTAATTAGATTGTCATATGGATTTAGATGTATTTATTAATTTTGTTTTATTTTATGTGTGTGTGTGTAGGTTTGTGTATGGGAGTGATTGTATGTACGTATTTTGTGTGTTTATTTATTTGTGTGTATGTGGCCATCATTTTCTGAACAGCCTACATAAATATAATAAGTTTTAGATGTAAACACGGGCGTGGGTTGGTCATCCATCAGAGGAGACGGAGTGTTGTAGACCCTTGTTGGTGGTTCCTGGTAGTGTAGTGGGTCACCATCCTGGCCTGGACCCATGGTGTGTCCTGAGGAGCCCACCCCACTAAATTGGCTCGTCCGCTGTGGTCAGTCTTCCATGAGAGGGGAAGAAGAGGAGGAGGAGGAGGAGGACCAAGATAGGAGGACCAGGAGCAAGAAGAGAAGGAGCATGAGGAAGAGAAGGAGAGGGAAAGGGAGGGGAGGGGAGGCAGATCGTTACGCGAGTGTTAAAAGGTGACATTATACAGGTAGGAAAAAATACTCCTGTCCTATAAGGTATATTACATACATACATACATACATACATACATACATACATGCATACATACATACATCGTGACCCCCTCTACACCATTTGGGTCAATTATATTACATGACCTTGTTCAACCTTGTCCGTTGTCAGGTATTATTCGTGACGTCAATTCTCTCTCGGTTCGTAATTAAATCCCAAGTGACCTTCCCTCAACTTACGTGACTTAATCTTGTATGACGTCAAATATCCGACGCGATTCTTTTGTATTTGAAAGTTACTTATCGTAGGAGACTTGCCTCAGCCTTGTCTGGGGTCAGCTATCGCAAATAACCTTGTCTGGGGTCAGCTATCGTAAGTAACCTTATCTGGGATTAGCTATTGTAAAGAACCTCCTAATTCTTGTCTTGGGTCAACTATCGTAATGAACCTCATCTGGGGGTCAACTATTGTAAATAACGTTATCTTGGACCAACTATCGTAAAGACCCTCCTTCATTCTCGTCTGGGGTCACTTTTCCAGAGTAACTTGTCCTCAACCTTATCGTGTATTCCCCAGAAACATCCGGGGACTGATTTCCTCATTGGGTGAAATCTTGTAAGGGGGCGCATTAGGCAGCAAACTTTACGGGGACTTGGGGTAAATGATCAAGTGAAATTTACCCTCGAGTACCAGAATTTTACCTAAAGTCTTTGTATTTATTTATTTTAGGATCATCTGAAGAATATCCCCCCTCCGTCTAGCGTATTTAACATAAACTAACCTAACTTAGCCTAACCTATCCTAACCTATCCTATCCTATCCTGTTGGGGATCAATTGATAATGTTTACCAAGTGTTCATTGTAAGTTTTTCTGATGTTTTAATGAAGTTGTACCGAAGTTTACCTAAAGTTTATTCTAATTTCCATTCTTCTCTTATTCTATTATGCTAGTTTGAGTGATCATTCGAACTGGAAATAATACAATAATATGATACACAAATTTTAATGTAACAAAGAAACTATAAATTTATGACCGATAGACATTCATACATACATTTCATAATTAAAAAAAGTAGATTCTACCTTCAAAATATACTTTCTCGTGGCTAGAAGTATAAAAGGTATAAAATAAAAGAAAGTTTGGAGGCAAAAACCGGAAGAATCCCTGGGTAGTCCCCTAGGAAGATTCCTGAAAGCCTCTCCTCTCCTCACCATCCAGATTTGACCATTTGATTCGAGAGTCCCTGAAGGTGGAGCCTTAGCCTGCTGGAGGACCTCTGCCTGACCCGCCTTTAAGACACAAACTTTTTCCGGTCGATATTCACAATAATTCATCCCTGGAGAGGTACTGGGGGGGGTGTGAAATTGAGACTGGGAGCTTGGAGGCATTACTGGGGGCCTGGTACCGGTACTGGGTGTTTATATACTGGAATAATAACGTTGTGTTTATTATTGATTGTGAAACTTAACTCTTTTACTTGATGTTTAAATGTCATATAAATCTCAAGATGCATTTTAATGATACTTAAATGATTATATTAAGCTGTTAGTGATATCTCTCTCTCTTTCTCTCTCTCTCTCTCACACACACACACACACACACACACACACACACACACACACACACTCCTTTCGGTCATCAACACAGGTACATAAATCAGTCCTCGTTCTACCTGATCATCGGTTCCACAGTGGCGATTGGAATTTCTGTTTGATTATTATGATTAAGGGGAAACGAATTAGCGGGAGACATACAAGCGTAGGAATGTAAATAATATGATGATGTTATTTGTATTTTTTCGGCTACAGTTAACCCCCATATTGTGATCGTTTTAATGTGGGTTACAAGAATGACAGTGGTGATGGTAATGATGATGATACTACTATTTTTACTATTATTATTATTATTATTGTTAGTAGTAGTAATAGTATTTACATGGCGGCGAAGATGTGGCTATTGGGGGAGACTGGAGGCCAATTAAAAAAAAAGTAGTAGTAGTAGTAGTAATACCGTAATAATATTGTAATTAGTAATATTGTTAATGATAGCAATAATAACTATAATATCAACGGCAATACAATTTTATATACGCAGTAGACTTCATGATGCTGATGATAATAATAATAATAATAATAATAATAATAATAATAACAGAGGTAAACCATTTGGATCACCTAACCTAACCTATCCTAACGTAACCTAACGTAACCTAACCTAACCTAACCTATCCTAACGTAACCTAACCTAACCTAACCTAACCTATCCTTGGTATTGGTAAAAACACGGAAACTCTTTTGTTTTTTCTAATATTTTATACAACCACTTAAGGGAATTTCGGGCAGCCCCTCAATGTGGCGGTTCATTGCACTGATGGCTTTGTGGGGCATTCCTCAGAGGCTGATAGGGGGAGAACAGTGCCTTGGAGACCACCTGCAAGAAACCCATTACCTGGAAACTACCCAGGAGACCACCTGAAGGAAATATAATACCTGGAAAATGCCTTGGAGACCACCTGAAGGAAATATTATACCTGGAGACTGCCTTGGAGACCACTTGGAGGAAATTTGTTACCTGGAGATTACCTAGGAGACCACCTGAAGGAAATATAATACCTGGAGACCACCTGGAGGAAATCTATTATTTGGAGAGTGCCTTGGAGATCATCTGGAGTGAACCTAATACATGGAGACTACCTAGGAGACCACCTGGAAGAAACCTACTACATGAAGGAAACCTATCTCTGGAAACTATCTCCTTAATGATCATTAGAGTACAAATAGTTCCTTGGAGACTACCTGGAGAACAACCCCCTGGGAGACTGAAGGTGGAGGAGGTAGAGGGTGACAGGTTAAATGAGCTGCAGATAACAAGGCCAAATCTAACCTCACCTCGCCATTAGGATTGGGACCCATTAGATCGGGACCCATTAGGATTAGGACCCATTAGGATTAGAAACCATTAGGATTAGGACCCATTACGATCGGAACCCATTAGGATTAGGACCCATTAGAACTGATCTTTAAATCCTAATGGGTAAGGTTCTGTTTTTTTTTGGCGCTTTCTTAACAGAAAATAATGGAATGGAACACTCTCTCTCTCTCTCTCTCTCTCTCTCTCTCTCTCTCTCTCTCTCTCTCTCTCTTCTTTTTTCTTCTCTTTTCCCAGTATTTTTATCTCTTATTATCTCTCATCTCTTCTTTTTTCCTCGTGTCTCATTTTCTCTTTGTTTTTTCCCTATTATATTCACCTTTCCATTGATTCATTTTATTAACTCAAGTTATTTATACTCAAGCTGTTATCTTTAGTTATGTCTCTAGAAAAGATGTTTATTAATTTATTCTTTACCTGTTATCTTCAGTTATATCACAAGGGCAGTGTTTAGTAATGTATTCTAATTGTTATCTTGGATTATGTCACAAGGATCGACTGTTCATTAATTAATTTCCTGTTTCCAGGTAACGTGTGATTGATGTTATTGATGGGTCCAGGTGTAACGAGATGGAGGTAAGTAGAGGCTCTCTCTCTCTCTCTCTCTCTCTCTCTCTCTCTCTCTCTCTCTCTCTCTCTCTCTCTCTCTCTCTCTCTCTCTTTATGTCTTTGTCTCATTCTCTCTCACACACACACACACACACACACACACACACACACATATATATATATAGGGTTTAGTGTGCATGAGGACTGTGTGAACCTGAGCCAAGGGAAGACACCATTTTTGTTTTCTTTATGACTGACGGAGAAGATAGGAAGAGGAGGAGGAGAAGATTGGAAGAGGAGGAGGAGAAGATAGGAAGAGAGGAGGAGGAGGAGGAGATTGGAAGAGAGGAGGAGAAGATAGGAAGAGGAGGAGGGGAGGAGAAGATAGGAAGAGGAGGAGGAGAAGATTGGAAGAGGAGGAGGAGGAGTGGGGGTGGAAGGTGGGAGAGAGAGAGAGAGAGAGGGGGGATAAGGATGGTATGTGGGAGAGAGAGAGAGAGGGAAGATAATAGACATGAGAGGAGGAGAGTAGAAAGAGGTTGAGGGAGGAATGTTGAAAAGGAAATGAAAGAGGAAAAAAAAGAGACAACAATTTGGAAAAATGGAATAAAGTGAGAGAAGAAGATAACGAAGAGACGGAAATAGAGAGAAAAAGAAAATATAGAGACACAAGAGAAGGAAATGAGGGAAGATGAATGGGAAAGTGAGAAGGAAGTAAAGGAAATTGAGGAATAAGAATGAAAGTAACAAGGGAGAGAGAGAGAGAAGGGGAGAACTAGAGGGGAGAAATGAAACCCGAGAAAGGAGAGGAAAGGCGATAATAAGGAGGGGAAATTGAAGAAAGGGGAGATAAGATAACGAGATTGAAAGAGGGAATCGGAAAAGAAACAGAGAGGTAGACTAAGAGAAACAAGGGAATGTGGAAAAAGAAGTAAGAACGAGAAATAGATAACAAGTGGTGGTGGGGAAGAACGAATAAAAGCCACAAGGGAAGGAAAATAAACAGAGAGAGAAGAAGGAATGGAGAATGGACAGAGTGAGAAAGAGGGAAGAGAATGGAGAGAGGAAAAATGAGGGGAAGAGAGAATGGAGAAAGGGAGACAGAGTGGACAAAGAATGGAAAGAGAGAGAGAGATGTAAGTAGTTCACAGCGGACAATGAATTACCGGTGCTGGTCAGATGGTGTTTGGTCCTAATAGGCTTCAATCACCCCAAATCCCGGTGGTTAGGTTAGGTCAGGTCAGGTTAGGTCAGGTGAGGTTAAGTTATTTTCGATTAGGTTAGGTCAGGTTAAGTTAGATTAGGTCTGGTTAGATTAGGTTAGGTCTGGTTAAGTTAGATTAGGCCAGGTTAGAATAGGTTTGGTTAAGTTAGGTTCAATTAGGTTAGGTCAGGTTAAGTTAGATTAGGTCAGGTTAGATTAGGTTAGATCAGGTTAAGTTAGATTAGGCCAGGTTAGATTAGGTTAGGAAAGGAAGGGAAGGAGGTAGGAAGGGATGGGGGAGGGAAGGAAGGAAGGGAGAGGAATGAGGATGGGAAAGAATGGAGGAAGAGAGGGAAGGTAGGAGGGGGGCGGATGGAGGTTGAGAAGAGGAAACTTTCTCATCGGGGCTAAACTTATTCTGTACTTTTTTATATTCAGCCAAGGTAATACGGTTTCGTTTGGCGGAAGTTTGGAGGGATAAAGGCACAGTCCTTCCCTCTCGTAGTGGTGCACAGTCCTTTTAATGGTGCACAGTCCTCTTTGTGGTGCACAGTCCTTGTAGTGGTGCACAGTTCTTGTAGTGGTGCACAGTCTTTGTAATGGTGTACAGTTCTTGTAGTGGTGCACAGTCGTTGTAATGGTGCACAGTCCTTGTAGTGGTGCACAGTCTTTGTAATGGTGCACAGTCTTTGTAGTGGTGCACAGTCCTTCCCTCTTGTAGTGGTGCACAGTTGTTGTAATGTTGCACAGTCCTTGTAGTAGTGCACAGTCCTTGTAGTGGTGCACAGTCCTTGTAATGGTGCACAGTCCTTGTAATGGTGCACAGTCCTTGTAGTAGTGCACAGTCCTCCACTCTTGTAGTATTGAAATTGGCCTCCGTCGTGAACAATGTACTCGTGTGTTTATTAATAAGACCAGACAGTATTACACACACTGGCTGGATAAATAATAACGTATTGATAATGTTGGTAGAGAGGTAAATACATCATCTTGTGTCTGGGGTGAGTTTGTGTTTACGATAAAGTGATGTGCAGGAAAGGATTGGATTGTATTGTATTGTATTGTATATTTAATGTAGAGATGAGATACTCTTCCTTGTAGTTTTGTATGGACCTGGTATGTCCATGTGGTACTAGTGGCCCTGGGACTGTCCATGTGATACTACTTGGCCCTGGGACTGTTCATGTGGTACTAGTGGTCCTGGGACCATCAGTGTAGTACTGGTGGGACTCATGTACAGTAGGCTTGTGATTCAATGGTCTTACGAGTGGTATTAACATTGCATAGTTGATTAAGTGGTATTGCTATTGGTCTTATCCTGTGGAGGAGAGATAAGAGGTGAGGGACAGACACTGTTCCCTGGGGTGGTGAGGCACAACAGTGGCGTCTTATAGCAGTGAGATTATGAGGTACTGTAAATACGTGTTGTCTTGTGATTACGATAAGGGAGATTTATACGTGTACAGGAGTCGCTCAGTTAACGCTTTTATTGACTGATGTATTCACGACCCACACCTCCGGCTCGTTCCCCTGTCCCCTACCCCTTACCCCCGGCCCACACCCCCGCCCCACACCCCTGTCCCCTACCCTTTCCCCTGACCCACACCCTGTCCCACACCCCCTGTCCCCACCCCCCACCCCGGCCCACACTGC